TCACCCATTTTATCTTTCAAGGTAGTTCCAATTCAACTGCATTGTTCCAATATATGAAGCGTAATTGTTTCACAACCTTGTTAGCAATAAAGAAGTTCTCACGAATGATACACACAAGGATAGAAAGTAATAATATAAAGTTTAACTTTTAATCAACCCACAGCATCTCTGAGGGGGAAAAAATCAAGTTTCAAGTTTCACACAAAAGAAGACGAGAAAAAAAATCCATTTTATTTTTAAAAACATTTCACATAGCTTAAACGACGATTTTACAAAATGACAAAAAGCTTTCATCAAAAACAAAACCTTGAAGTGTTACGTGAGCTTTCAACCATAAACATCTGTTCCATGTGTCATTTTTACTTGTGCCATTTTCATTTCAATGCAATAAAGTTGTGTGTCAATAATGTCGATTGGATTTTGAGTTTTTTGGATCTCCCTTGAATATTTTGTTGGTTAAAGCTTATAGTCATTAGTTTTGTAAGATGGATGGATGTTGCTTCTCTTCAATAAACTTGAGACATCATTGCTGCAAAGCCCCCAAAAAAGGAGCAAAAAAAATCTTCTAGCAATTGTTTTGTAGCTCGTCAAAATGAATTGCAGCAGAAAGGGGTGTTTGAACAACAACAAAAAAACTTTTTCATTTTGTTCACTTTTTTGTTTGATTTGATTTTATTTTTCCCTCGTCTTGTTCTCATCATGAAATTGTGACAATTTCCAACAATTTCTTTGATTGTTCATACAATGGCAGCTCTTTTTTTTATTTCGATACTTGTACATGTGTGGATTTTGTGAACATTTGCAAATGTTGTTGAGGAAAATTTGAAAACTTTTTTTCTTTTTACTGTTTTTTTTAAGAACATGGAAAATCGATTCGGTTTAAGAATTTAAAAATAATGTCGTCTCAAAAAATTGTAGATGCAATTTTACTCTTGATGTTTTTCATCTGCTTCATTTGCTGATGACTCCTTAAAATTTAAATTTTTTTTAAAAATAACAATTACAAAAAAATATTAAACATAAGGTAAAGTCATAAGTTTTCTGTCCTTTAATGGTTTTTTAAGATTTTAATTTTCTAAAGGAAGAAAAAATTTGAAATTATAGAGGTGATGATAAAATTATAGAGTTAAAATTAAATTTTGACAGGTTGCACTGTACTTTAAATTAAGAATCGTTAATTATAATATTTACCGATGGTTTTGAGTTTTTAAAATGTGCGGGAGCCCAATAACTCGATGGCACGGAGCTAATGCAAAAAACCAGAGCTCTCTATAATGTTTGGGTAAAAAGTTTTCATGTGCTCCGAACAACAGCCGCACAAAGTACATTTTTAACCTAGGGGCCATTCACTTATTACGTAACGCTTTTAGGGGGAGGGGGGTCTAAGATTTTGTTACGATTCAAACAAGGAAATTTTTTTTTCATACAAATTTTGTTACGAGGGGGGGGGGGGGTCTAAGAAGTCATTTTTTTGCGTTACGTAATAAGTGAACAGCCCCCTACCTTAATTGTAATAATTCAAAATATTTCGAAACAATTTTTGAAAATGCACTAAAAAAATTCAACATAAAATTAAATTAACAACTTTAAAATCAATTTAAATTTTTCCTCAAACTTTTTTCAAGCAAAAACTGATTAAATTAAGATTCTCTTTTCCACTTCAATTTTCTTCTTTTTTCTAATTTTTCTCCTTGTTAATAATGACAAGAAAATGAAAACAAATTTTTTATGCTAGTAAATAATTCGAAGTAGCTTGTATATTTCATCTCCCAAAAGTACATTCACAGAGATAATTTTTCTACTTTTTCCAAGGAAACAAGCACAAGCTTTGGCTGTAAAGTTTCTTTCTTTCACTTTATGTTTGTACATAGAAAGCAGAAAGCATCCCCGTTGCTTATCAGCGTGAAGAATAAGAAATGAGTGAGAAAATTTTGTGGAATTAAAAGTGGTCATTAGGAGGGATTTTAATAGCGCATATGGTGGGGATGTTAAATAAGTGATAGAACGAGGAGAGCTAGAAATGGTTTGAGACAGGTTTGATCATTTTTGTATTCAACGGAAAATTTAGGAGGTGAGCTTGGGGGGGTCTTTGATTTATCTCTCAAACTCTAGCATTTTGAAGAGTTTTCTTTTTTCAAATAAGTAGAGTGGAGGTGAAGGGGGGGGGGTTGTAATCCAATTTTGGAAAGAGATCACGAAAATGACTGCAGGGTCCGATACACTTTCATATTCCGAGCTGACATTAGCTTTCACTGTTGTGACCTCCAATAATTGAACAAAAAACTTAATTCTGGAACTGTAATCATGTTCCTATGTAGAGCTTACTTACTTACTGTAACCATGTTCCTATATGGACCTTAGGTTGCAACAAATGGCTTTCCATCTGACTCTATTGCTGGCTCTGCCTTCTGGATCGTACAATTTCTCTGTGTGCACATTAAGCTGACATTCTTTCATCACTGTTCTGCGCTAAGTAGCTTTTGGTGCACCTGAACGTCTTTTCCCATGAGGATTTCAACCTAGAGCGGTGTAATAAACGTGTATGTCTGTCACAGCATTGCCACTTGAAATCTTGTAGTTCTCAAAAAAATCAGACAAACCAACCAAAATCTCAACCATTTTTCCAGCATATTCAAGCTCCAATCAAAAAGAAGAAAATCAACATTAAAGTTTTTCTTGCGACAAAATGAAAATGTCTTTTAATTAGCATTTTTAGTACGACTTTTTGCCTCCATCTCAGTTCCATCTCAGTTTTTACCCTTCTTTTTATTAATTTAATATTTCATTTAAAGAGAGAAAGAATTGTGCTTCTGTGCTGTGCTTATCATACAGCATGAATCTTGGGTTGTGCTCATGTAATCAAAAAAATGTATTTTCTCTTATCTGTTGATGTTACTGTCGCAATTATAAAGTGTGTAAGAATCAGGTCATGATCTTCATATGAAAATTTATGGTTTTTTTTCTAAGGAATTTTAAATTTATTTTAAAGACTCATTAAAAGATGACAAAATAAGCAAATGTTTAGCCTTTGTGCGGCTTTTTCAGAGGTCTAATGTGACTCAAAGGTCCTGGATTATGCAGACCTGGTTTATGTACATGCGGATATCCTGGTCTATGATGAAAAACTGGAGGAATCGTATTAGGATGATCTGGTTTATGTGTATGTCCTGGAACATTTGTATGCCTATCATCTCGATCATTATCACCATCGCCACCGGGTATAAAGAAGCAAATATGCAAGCAGACCTTCTTGCGATGAAAACGTGGACATCGCTTTTTCCATTGAGGCAAGTGAAAATTCTTCAATATTTCTTTCCATTCTGGATACGTAACGCAAATCAGGTCTTGAATAGTTGTAGCAGATGGTTTAACTGTAGTTGTCGTAACAGGTGGACATGGTGAAGTTTCAGGCATAGTTGCTGGAATATAATTTGAAAAGCAGGTAGATAGTGTACTGGAAGTAGTCGTGTAATCACTCGATTCGATAGAAAATGAAGTTGTTCCAGCTGGTAAGCATGAGATTCCGTCAAAATAGAACTGATCAGATACTGTCGTTCTAGTCGTAAAAATTGTTGTGAATTTCGAATTAATTGCTTTAATTGGATTGTCATTAAACCCGTAAATTGAACTAAAGTATGTATTTCCAGTTAGATCAAGCAGTGGCAAGTAAGTCAATAAATTTGAACTCAAATCAAAAATATATAAATTCGGAAGTCCGCTTAAAATTTTAGAGTCTATAGCAGTGATTAAATTTCCAGACAGTGTAATTTGATTAATTGAGTTCAAATTCGTGAATAAAGTTGGTGGAATGCAAGTGATTTGATTGTAATCGAGTCTTAAATTCATCAAATTTGTTAATCCTTGAAATGCATTGACATCAATTGTTGAAATTGAATTGTTGGCTAACGACAAACCAATTACAGCTGAACAGGTTGATGCAATTCCTGCTGGCACATTTGGAATATTTCCACGTTCAACGACTATAATTTCCAAATTGTTACAATTGCTAAAAGCATCAGCGACTAAAGTTGTTGTTCCACAATTAACTAAGTCGAATTCTTGTAAATTTGGAAATGTTTTGAATAAACTTGTAGGAACATATTGAAGACTAAAGTTGTCATAAAATGGTAATGTGAGAACTCCGAAGTCTACAAACGTTGAATCCTGTCCAGCAATTGTGATGACTTCATTAGCTTGAGTTATTGGATCGATGCTTATTATCTTTGCATTTCCAAGTGGTAGAAGTGTATAATTTAGCACAGCTGAGTCAACTATACAAAAAACACAGCACGTGGATAAGAAAAATATTCTGAAATGAACGAAATAAATTTTTTAAACTCTAAAGCAGTGTTTCTCAATCTTTTTGGGCCGAGGAGCAGTAAAAAATCAGTAGATGATTGGTTCATATACCCTGGCAACCACTATTGACACATATTGTTTTTTCACGGACTTATAGAGGCTCCGTGGAGTAAAGTTTGAGAAACACTGCCTTAAAGTGTTTTTGGCTGCAAAAAAGGCATTGATGGTAAAAAAAAGAGGAATAAATTAAGAAAAAAAAAGGATAAAGAAAAAATTTCTAGGATTAAATACTTTAGTCTCTTCAATAAAGGATGACAATGCTCATCATTTTTTTGAAATATGAAAAAAAAAAAAAAAAATGATGATGATGTCCTTTTACTACACTGTGAAGTGTAGAGCGTTTACGAAACTTTTGAATCTAAAGCGATTGCTAGCTAATGCCGCAAGCTCACTGAGTTGATAGCCCCGTTGAGCCGCTTCATTACGAATAGACGATTGCCAAGTAGTATTAGGTCTACCAGGTTTTCGCATATCCGGCTGATTCCAGAATACAGTTTGTCACGTTATATCTTCAGTATCTTTCCTTAAAGGCTGCAAAAATGCTGAAACTGAATATTTACAATACTTACACTTTTTTCCACATGTTTAGACCAAGCTAGTTGAAATTCAAACACAAACTTCCAAAAATTTCTAAATACTTTGCTATTTTTATTTAAATGTTTTTATCAAATTTAGAAGTTATTTTGCATAAATTTGCAATATTTTAGATGAAGCAACTCACATTAAATAGAATTAATTGGCTATTAATTTAATTAACGCGTAAAAAAATGACAAATAAAAAAAGTTGATAAACTTTTCATTTGTTTCATTAACATTGTTTTTAATTTGAACAAATAAAACTTAGTAAATTCAAATTTCATTTATTCTGCAAGATTTTGTCGCGATTCTTTATCGAAAACAAAGTTTCATACATAATTAGAAGTTAAACAAAAATATCTCCGAATAGCACAAGTTGGTTAATGGAATAGAAATCTGTCACCAAGCCTGGCATGGTGCTGGCATCGATTTAAATCTAACATCGGCTTGGTGCATAATTTCTGATTGATTAACCGACTTGTGCCATTCGGGATCGTTAAGTGTAAATTTTAAAGTTTACCGATCACAACATTTAACATTGCATTGGAACATAAGCTGTTGGGCTCCATTGGATGTGACAATTTTGTAAATATTTTAGAAATTCTTGAATGTCACAATAAGATAAGTTAATATTACTGATAGTCTGAATGCAAGGATTCAAAGCTACATTTAATTCAGTGTATTGAACTCTAGATGCAAGAATCGAACAAATTTCAGGACTTATAGATGTAATTTGATTCATTTCGAAATAAAATATCAATCCATTAGTTAAAGCAGACATAGAAGTTTGTGGTAACACTAAAGACGGTAAAGTTTTAATCATATTGAATCGTAAGTTGACTGAATATAAGAATTCTAAGTTTTTAAAGAGATTTTGATCAATCGCAGTGATTTGATTGTTGCTTAAATCAATTTTTATTAAATTTGGTGTATTTCGGAATAAGTCGTGTGGCAAGCACTGAATTTCGTTATGAATAATGTCCAAATATTGTAAACTATTCAATCCAATAAATACGCCTTTATCAATTTTTATTGTATTTGTTTGCTCAATAGCCAAATAGACTAGTTTTGAGTTTGACTGAGCAAATCCTTCAGGAATTGTTGGGTAATTTCCATTGATTATTTGAATATATGTCAAATGTGGACAATTCGCAAATGAATCTTTGAATAACTTTATTGAGTAAGTATTGTTAATGCTAAGTCCGGATAATTTGGGAAATACTTTACAAACACCGGTCGGCACGTATGCTACATTTATTGCATTCTCGAATTTCACTAATTGCAGAACAATGTTAACATAATCGAGTGGCTTTCCAGAAACTGTAATAACTTCATTTGGTTGAGTTACTATCGTTGGGTTGATTACAGTACAACTAACGCCCAACATTCGACATGTTATCTGAGCTGAATTGACTAATGATATCATCCACGTCACAGTTAAGCTATTGGTAATGAATTGCAAAAAAAATTTGAAAATAAATTAATAACAGGGCGGTTTCTAGAGCTACCTGGGGCATTTTCTATCCTAGAGTGCCCCGGATCGACCTAGAAACCAGGTCTAATAATTATAAAGTAAATGTAGATTTTCATAAACTTTTTCCTTGTAAAAAGAAGGAGAAGTAGTGAATAAAACTCAATAATAATAATAATAAAATCAAAGTAATAAGAACAGCACTAACAATATTTTCCACATTTTTAAGGTCCTCCTTCGAATAACCTCCAAGTTTTTAAATGAACAAAATACGACTGATAAGATAAAGAATTTTACACATTTTTTCAACAACATATGTCAAGGGAAAAAATAGAATAGTGGGAATAATTTTATATTTTAAATTTTAATAGGTAGGACTGTAGAGTTGGCAAGACTCCTAAAGTTGACTCCCGTCCTACCATCTCTGAACTGTTCAACATTATTTTAAAATCTTAAATATCTTGATAATAAGCTATGATCGAAACTGCAGATTCCCAACGGTTCGTGAGCTTCCTGGATTTTATTCCTGAGCAATCAGGATTTTTACGTTAGAGCATTTAATTTATTTAAGTCTCTACCTCCATTGGTTAAGAATAAGTTCACATTAAATATATTTAAAACTAGAATTAAGGAGCATTTTTACGAATCTTATTATATACTATATCTATTTTGTATCTCAATTGCAAAATTATATACAAATAAATCAAAAAAAAAATTACGGCACATTACTGTGCCGTGGCACATGGGTTGGCCATCACTGACTTAGTAGGATCATATTTTTACAACTTTTTTCCAACATATTTTTGTCAATATTACTTTAATCAAGAATTGATAATAACGCTTTATTAGTCAATCATATGCAATAATTAATTACATATTATTTCAGTCTGTTTGTCTCAAAACTCTTAAATTTAACCAATTTTACAGGATAGTAAAAGACTACCTGTGAACTAAGCAGCTATGGAGGTCTGTTTTAATGATAAACATAAGTTGATAGGAATTTATACAATATTTGTTTTCTACGGAAATGACAAAAAATTAACATTTCAGTTAAAAATATTTATTCAAGTGTTTTTAAGACGTCTTATACAATTCGTGTTGTTTAAGATTATCTTAAATCGATCTAATTTTATATATTTTGTTAAAAATAATCAAAAACTGATTTTATTAATTTTTATTCAAAGTTCAAAGTTTTATTTTCAATATTGATAATGAAGAATAATGGAATACATTATATTTTACGTATTATTAAATGCTGATCAATTTAGGAACATGTAAAATTTTTACATGATTTTTTTTAGAAACATATAAATACAAACAAAGAAACTGTTTTAAGAATTGTTAAACATATTTTTTTTGTTAATTGCCTCTCAACTTTTTAAGTATAACATGAAATTATTGAGAAAAAAAATTATTTATTAAAAATCTGCAAAAATAAAGGAGGTTAAACATCACTACAGCAGACTCTCTAACGCTCCTTAACACACCTTAACGATGATTCGAGTCTAGATTAAGGATTTGTTTTCATGAACTCCAAGAATTTCATATAAAGTTCTGGTGATATACACATTGGAGGCATTTCACATTGAGCAACAACAGACATTGCAGATGTCCATTTCGAGTAGCATCCTTGAAAATAACTTGCAACTGTCTGACAATTTTGCTTTGTTATTGTATAAACTGTATTTGATGTTGGAAAACATGAACCCGATTGAAATTTAATAGAATCTAATGAAGTTGATGGTCTGTTTGCAAAAGTATTACAGAAGTCAGGTTTAATTGCAGCAATTGGATTGATATAGAAAACAATAAGGAATTGTTGAAGTGGGTTTGCAGGAAAGATTAATGGTGGTAAATGGGTAATTAAATTATTTGACAGATTAACAGAAGTTATAATTCGTAGATTCCTGAATAAGTTTTGATCAATTGCAGTAATTTTATTAAACTGCAAGTAAAGAACTTGTATGGCAAGCGTGTTTTGAAATAAATCAGGATGAAGGCATGTAATTCGGTTGCCATTGAGCCAAATTACTTGCAACTTTGATAAACCTTTAAATGCATTTTTATCGACATAATCAATTCCATTATAATCTAGTCTTACTCCTAATAAATTTACACATTTCTGTGCAAAACCTTCAGGAACATAAGTTATATTAGCAGTATAAGAGATTTGTATATACTTCAGGGCATCACAATTAATGAAGGCATCTGTCGTCAAAGTAAGTTTTGGACAGTAATTAAGACCAAAAGAATTTAAATTTTTAAAAATATTGAAAACATTGACTGGAATTTTATAAATGACAGTGTAGTTGAAACTCATAAATGTTGTTGCTGTATTCACGTAATTCGCTGGCTTAGACACAACATTAATAACCTCATTTGCATTTGTTACTCCAGTTATTGTTGGCAATGTACAAAATTCGTCAATCCAGTTGCATTTCAAGTCGGCAGAGTGAGAAACTGTCGCCATTGCAATGATTGCAAGGATGGTGAATCTATAAAAGATATTAATTTAACCTGTAGTAAAATGACATATCCATGCATTAAATCGAAGGTCGTTGATAATTAGGCTGTCCAGCTGCTCACTTTCAAACGGGACAGACTCGTTTATTTGAACAAATTCCCTCCTTAAATGTTTAATCCCGGTTTTTCGAACATATTTTTTTGAAAAAAGGCTTGAAAATTTTGTTTAGTCAGGCTTTTTTACCGAAAATTGGAAATAACCAATGGACATGATATATAAAGTGTGCAAATTTTTAAATGAGGAGGGCATTTTAGCTTTGTAGCACTTCAATACAAAAGATAAATTATTAATAACAAACTTACAATTTATTCCACATATTTAATTATAAAAAGCACTTCTTTCCTATTGAAAGTGTTGTTTTAAACTAAAGTTTTGCGATCAGACAGAATTTGTTAATAAAATAATTTTTTATTGGTGTTGAATTAAGTTTCGATTAATTTGCTCAGATGCCGATTATAAAGTTAAACTGTAATCGTAAAGTGTGTTTTAAAATTTAAATTTTAAAGACGTAATTAAAGTAGGATTGTGTGTCATCAGAGTGTTTAAGAATCATGGACATAGCTAAACATTTTTCCAAATTTTATTCTTAAATTTCAAAATCCTTAGCATCAAGGCAAGATGAAATTAATTCACATTTACATCGCAATTTTAACAAGTTTAAGAGATTTTAAATAATTCAAAAGTTTTTGCCAGAAAGAATTAATTGGACATAAAGGTGCAGCTGTTGTTACAAGAACTGAACCCAGCCCACATCCTACATTGCCTGTCATTGAGGATGTCCAATTTTGATAACATTTTTGTAAATATCTTTCAGGTTTAACATAATCATTCGGACCAATAACAAAATAACCATTATTAAATGGATAATTTAAGCACTGAATGTCTGCTAAACTAAATAAGATTGCAGGAAGAGAAACACGTTTTGGATAAACTGATGTGAAATCTGGACTGATGGATTAAACTCAAATGTAATGTATGACTGCATTACAGTTGTGGATGTTCCATTGAAATCAAAAGTTGGTAAATACTGTAATAAATTATTCACAAAACTGACGTACGTCACTGATTCAAGGTTCCTGATATTCCACCATTGATTGTCTTAATTTTATGATTTGTCAAATAAATGGATCTAAGAATTGGTAGATTTTGGAATAAATCAGCAATAATTAGGGTGACCATCTGCGTGGTTTTACAACGGACAGTCTTGTATTTCAAAACCCTGTCCTGTATATATTTGAAAATTTTGTTCCAGGTGCTGTATTTTTTTCACGAAAATTTCCGTTAATTTTCAAATTTTCCTTTGTGTCCTGTATTTTTTAGGAAATTTATCAAATGTCCTGTATTTCCGTAAATCTTGAAAGTCTTTACTCAATTCTTACCCTAACAGACAAAGAGCATGCTCTCAATGAGTATGCTCACTAAAATATATTAGCTGAGTATGCTCACGAGTTAACTCAGTCAGTACATTTAAGTGAGCATACTCATTGTGAGCATGCTCTTTGTCTGTTAGGGTTAGTTCATCGTTTAGCCTGGATCTCAGATCTCTGTTTCTACTGGATCCAACACCCATCACACATGCTTCATACCCCCCTGAAAATGAAAAAAATCAATAAAATAAAATAAAAACGCGTTTAATTTTAGTGATAAGTAAGTTTTGTCTGATTTTTATTTAAAATTGTAATTTTTTGCACTACTCTAAATTCTACATTTTGAATTCATTTTTTTCATCTCACTTTTTTTTATCATCATCATTTGTTGTAAATTTTTTATTTGTTAAAAAATTATCATTTTCTATCAGTATAATTTGAAGCGAATAAATAATTCAATTTTTTTAATTAATTACGCAATTACTAATAATATTTTCTCATTTTTAATATGCATTAAATTTAAACTTTTTCCCGAAATTTTACTTTTTTATGAGTACTTGATGCTGCCTACTTTTCCATTTTTTGTCATTCTTAAACTTGATGGAATTTTTTTTTCTTCATTTTTTTTGGTTTAATATTTTTTTAAGAAGCACTTTAATATATTTTTTTTTTGTTTTTAATGATTATAGTTAATTTAATTAATTAATGTATATTTTTTCCATCGTCATTTTCTTTCACTTTTCTTACTCTTTTCTTTCTGTCTTTCTCACATCCAACAGTCTCTCTAATCACAATAATTTATTTTCTTTTTATAGTTTTTGAAATTGGAGATTTGTGTGAAGATGGACTTAATTTTTTTATTCTGTAGAAGTTTAACAGCATTTTGGAAACTTATTCTGAATTTTGCAAGAATATAACAATTTTTGAGGTTAAAAATTTATTTAAAGTTGTGGATTCATTAATCTCATAGTCACTGTTCTGACAATACTAGGTTGAGTCTAGTGACTTTACTAGGTTGAGCCTAGTGACTTTACTAGGTTGCACTTAGTGACTTTACTAGGTTGAGCCTAGTGACTTTAATAGGTTGTGCCTAGTGACTTTACTAGGTTGCACCTAGTGACTTTACTAGGTTGCACCTAGTGACTTTACTAGGTTGCACTTAGTGACTTTACTAGGTTGTGCCTAGTGACTTTACTAGGTTGTGCCTAGTGACTTTACTAGGTTGCACTTAGTGACTTTACTAGGTTGAGCCTAGTGACTTTACTAGGTTGCACTTAGTGACTTTACTAGGTTGAGCCTAGTGACTTTACTAGGTTGTGCCTAGTAACTTTACTAGGTTGCACTTAGTGACTTTACTAGGTTGCACCTAGTGACTTTACTAGGTTGAGCCTAGTGACTTTACTAGGTTGTGCCTAGTGACTTTACTAGGTTGCACTTAGTGACTTTACTAGGTTGCACTTAGTAACAATACTAGGTTGGTTAAAACTTTGTGATTTGTTTGTTCTGCTTCAATTAATAAATTTTTTTTTTGAATGATCTGCTCATACCTAAAAACAAGACTAAGTGGGTCAAGATGCTCTGAACAAATGATGAACCTTTACTTTGATAAAACTCTTCAATAGTGTTTTTAATTAAAAATCCAATCCATCTTCCAACAAATCCCTTGTTTACCTTTTTATCATTTTTTGTGTGTTTTCAGTTTCTCATTATACAAATTTTTCTTCATCAATTTAAATTTGTTAGTTGTGAACATGACTTTATTTTCTCAAAAGAAAAACGAAAGAAAAAAAATTCTTTTTTTTGCCACATAATTTTATTTTATCATTTTTTTGTGAGACTGTCGGTGTTTGCATATGTGTACGGGTAGGAAACTTTTTTTTTCTCAATAGGAGAAAAAAAGGGTTTAGAAATGAAAATGGTACAAAAAAAATTATTGCATATAGAATTATATATTTACACACACGAGAAAAAAAAATTATAGGAAATGGAAATGTTGAATAAATTTTTTCTCTTTTTCTGATTTACTTTTTTTTTTCACTAGGATTATAGTCAAAAGAAAGTTTTTTTTTCTCTTTTCATATTGGCATAATAAAGCATAAATTTTTATCGAAGCGAAAATTTTTTTTTGTCGAATCTTGAGAATGCTTGAATTTGTGGATGAATAAATTTTGGTAACATGGGAAGGATGGAATTTTTTTTTTCATAACTTAGGGATTTATTTGTAAGTTTTTTGGGGTAGCTCAAGTTGCAGAACTAAAGACGCAATTGATAGATTCTTTATTATGATTCTTATTCAATTCTGACAACATACTCTAATCAGCTGTTGACTAAAAGTTGGCTTATATGTTCGGGATTATACAATCACAATAACAAAGACTTGCAATCGACATTGTTTGTTTTATTCCAATCCCTAAAGTTAGGGCTATCATTTATCTTAAAGTAATTAAAGATTGAAATTATTAAAATCAGGTAGCTAGGGTTGGGACTTGGAGGATGAATTTTCCTTCGTCAAAATAATTTTCTTCATTTTGCTAAGGTTTTTAAGAAAATATCCCGAAATATCCCCTCATCCCAAATTATTTTTCTGTGCAGATTTCTTTAAATTTTCTGATCCTTCTTCTGATCTTTAAAATAGCTAAATGAAATCCTATCCATTTATTAAAACATAATTAATAGCTCAATTTATCTCGGTGAGAAATCATTCAAGAAAAAAAAAATACCTAAGGTATAGTCTTAATCTGACTCCATCCCTAGTCCATCTTTTAACAAATTCTGATAACTCGCACTATTAAAAAAATTAATTCCATCCATTTCGCATCCAACATTCTCAAGTTCGCCAGCTTTTTACAGCTTCTATAGGATGCTTATATATCTCTACGATATAAATTGTATATTACTGTATTCTCGTACCTAATAAAATAACTCATCTCGTCATATCATAACTGTCTTATTAAAAAAATGAGCTTAAGAATGAAAGTAGCGAAAAAAAAATTATCGATGAAAATGAAAATAGAAAATTCCCTCACATAAAACTGATTTATTGTACGTATCTCATGTATATAATAACAATTTTTTTTTATTTATTTATATCCTTCATCGCGTTCTATGCAGAAGGAAGAAGAAGAAAAAAATTATTTTATGGCATGCAACCCTTGGAAAAAAAATCACTACAAAGTTTTTCTTGATGTTTTTTTTTCCATTCGTTATGAATGAAAATAAATTTCTTATAATAGTTTTTCAAATATAATTTTTTTATGTAATTGCTAAGAAGTCTCATTTCATTGTTGTATTGTTGGATATAACCGACTGTAGACATTTCGTGCATGTCCACTATTATGTATGCAATATTTACAAAAGATTTTCTTCATTTGAGAAAAAAAATTAACTTCTTTGCGGTTTTTATGACGTAAAATTTTTTTTGGGGCTGGGGTTGGGGGAAGTTTGAGTTTAAAAAATTAAAATAAATTTTAAATTCCAAAAACTTATTTTTTAATCTTGAAATTAAAATATTTTATGTTTTTTAACCTCAAAAACACCCAAAACTTCAACCTTTCGATAAAATCTCATTATTTTGTTAATTCATTAAATGTAAGGGTTCATTCGTGACTTAATGGAAAGCTAACTAGAAAACAAACTCTCTCTCTCTTTTTTTATAAATTGATTTTAATTCAATTACTTTTTACTTTTTTTTTATTATTTTCAAATATAATTCTCATTTTACTTGATTTTTTTGTGTTTGCCTCCGCGCACAAAAGCATGGAAGGCGAGTAAATTTTTTGTTTAGTTTAAGAAGAAAAAGGAATTTCTATATAATAATTATCATTTAATTTATTATAATAACTGTGAAACTGTAAATTTAATTTAAACTTTTTAATGATTTTTTTTTCTTCTTTTCTTTTTGTGTAGTTTTTTTTTATAGCTTTATTACAAATTTTATATCCCTTGTTTTATGTTCTTGGTTTTTTTTGAGTTTAAATGGCTTTTCTTGAAATAATTTGATTTGTTTTTAGCGAT